GGGTTTTCACTTCTCATATAAAGAAACAACAAGATGTATATATAGAGAGACGACAAGCCTTTATGAATCTCTCGTTGATTTCATACTTAGAAAATAGAACTCAACTTGTTGACCATTAACTTTATATTAGGGTTTATCTGTATATATATTATTTTTTGAACAGGGTTTATCTGTATTTCAAACTGAATCAAAAACTTTATATTTTATTTAGTGTTTTCAAACCTAAATTGAGAAGCAAAATTTCATTGTTTTTTAAAGGTTATTAAACTGGAAAACTATATTGGTCAGGTCACAATCATTGAAAGTTTCTTTGTGTTATTGTTTTCAATTTGATTGTTGGTCTGTTTGTGTTATTTTAAGTATATTTTCATAATTGTATCATAGATATTTAATATATTTTTCGAAAAAAATATAAAACTTAATCATACGTGTACGCCCAATTCAAATCTGGATTCCAATTAGACTATATTCAATCATTCGATACAAGTGGAGTTTCATAACCAAAAGTTAATTACACACGAAAACGAAGGATAAGTGTAATTTCGTTTAAATCATATATGGTCACACCAGCACCATCACCAAATTGTTACATATTTCGACTTACCGATTATAGTAAAATAAAATTTCACTTATTCTCCAACTTCTTCAACTAGAGAGCTTTTGGTAAAAAAATGTTGTTTCCTAATATTTTACATGATTTGAACGTAGTCGACATTGTTTATTTTGGCAACATTCAGTTTTGATTCCTGTTAAGATATATATCCTGTTGATCGTTTTGTTTTGCTAGGAAATGATTGGATTTGTAATTATAAAGAATGTTGTAATTAAGAACAAATCATATAAAAAAATCATACAGCTTATTACAACAACATATTAAAACAATCACGTAAAAATAAAAACATCTATCGTCAACCCAAATCCAATTATTTCCTAGCAAAGCAAACAATCAATATTACATGTTGCCAGAAATAAAAAAATTCTACTCGATCGTGGTTAAGATCGGTTAACCATCCCAATTGGTGACCGCTGTATTTCTTGCCGCATCGAGCTTACCTTTGTGGTAGAGAAAATGGATGAACATAAGAAAGAGGAACGCTCCAAAAACTATAACCATAACCAAACTCATCTTTTTTTT